TTTTGAAGAAAACGATGTAGCAATGGCACGGTCGTTGCACTGCATTACCGGAAAGCCGATTTTGATATCAGGACATAATTGAACTGTAAATTACAGCTGAGCATATTGACAATTTGGGGCTCACTAAATATGCACGGACAATGACCGAATTACCAGACCAGAGGAATTCTAAATTTTAGTGGAAAACCGCTGCAGTATTTGCTGATATATAAATTATTACATTGTTTAAAATTCAATTCAATCTTGAAAACATGAAAAATGAAACAGAGTTAAACGACTTAGGAGGGTGAATGATTCAGGAGAAAACACGGTTCACAAAGGTTACGTGGCTATCCTTTATGGTCGTTTTGATATTAACATATAGGCCTAAGTGCCATTTTCTTCATGGAGCCTTGTGGACCTATATCAAGATACTACCATGTTTCCCTTCCCTTCCAGCCTCAGTTTGGTTACATTCGTTTGAATGAGTGGAAAAGCAAGATGACTGTCCCAATGAAAAGGTCTATAATGCACCACATTCAGATGACTCTACCATGCACTGGTTAAAAGCCGGTTCTTCTTTACTTGCCAAATGCCAAACGTGGCACATGCTGATATGAAACCAACTCCTTGACTGAGCACGATGATATAGCTGTAAGCCCAAGTCGCTCTAACACCATTTTCACGGAATGTTGACACCGACAAATAACACCGGTAAAGTTGGTACTATAGCTTTTCAGAGAGGATAGGCCAAAGTTACAGCTTACAGGATCGCATCTCCTCTCAGTGCATATACAACAAAGTAAACATACAATAAATATCAAATGTAACTAAAGATACCGCTTCACGGACATGTTTAAACAAGTAAATGGTAAAATTTTATGGCCTAATTTTTGAATTTCCTACTAATTCTTACAGTCCAAATTTTGTAATTTAATTGGTACACCTGCTAAACGTAACGCACCTCACACAACGCAACTGGCAAAACGACAATTAGACAATTTCCTTTTAACATTTTCCTCCTGTGAATTGTCTATTTCCACTGTGATCATCATCATCCCTACACCCCAATTAATGTGCCCTTGAAAAAAGGTAATATTTTCAACATACTTGGACAAAGACATCTCTTCCACTTACTTTCTTTCCAGTGTGCACCATCCACAGTATGGGTCTCCATCATTCCCTGCATCAGTCCCAATACACGCCTCACAGGTGGT